CCTAGGTGCTTCAGTAGGTAGGTGACTACTACCTAGGTACCTCAGTAGGTAGGTGATTACTACCTAGGTACCTCAGTAGGTAGGTGACTACTACCTAGGTACCTCAGTAGGTAGGTGACTACTACCTAGGTACCTCAGTAGGTAGGTGACTACTACCTAGGTACCTCAGTAGGTAGGTGACTACTACCTAGGTACCTAGGTAGTAGTCACCTACCTACTGAGGTACCTAGGTAGTAATCACCTACCTACTGAGGTACCTAGGTAGTAGTCACCTACCTACTGAGGTACCTAGGTAGTAGTCACCTACCTACTGAGATACCTAGGTAGTAGTCACCTACCTACTCAGGTACCTAGGTAGTAGTCACCTACCTACTCAGGTACCTAGGTAGTAGTCACCTACCTACTGAGGTACCTAGGTAGTAGTCACCTACCTACTGAGGTATGTAGGTAGGTGACTTCTACCTAGGTACCTCAGTAGGTAGGTGACTACTACCTAGGTACCTCAGTAGGTAGGTGACTACTACCTAGGTACCTGAGTAGGTAGGTGACTACTACCTAGGTACCTGAGTAGGTAGGTGACTACTACCTAGGTATCTCAGTAGGTAGGTGACTACTACCTTGGTACCTGATAGGTAGGTGACTACTACCTAGGTACCTGAGTAGGTAGGTGACTACTACCTAGGTACCTGAGTAGTAGTGACTACTACCTAGGTACTTCAGAGGTAGGTGACTACTACCTAGGTCTCAGTAGTAGGTGATACTACCTAGGTACCTCAGTAGGTAGGTGACTACTAAGTAGGTACCTCAGTAGGTAGGTGACTACTACCTAGGTACCTCAGTAGGTAGGTGACTACTACCTAGGTACCTCAGTAGGTAGGTGACTACTACCTAGGTACCTCAGTAGGTAGGTGATTACTACCTAGGTACCTCAGTAGGTAGGTGACTACTACATAGGTACCTCAGTAGGTAGGTGATTACTACCTAGGTACCTCAGTAGGTAGGTGACTACTACCTAGGTATCTCAGTAGGTAGGTGACTACTACCTAGGTACCTCAGTAGGTAGGTGATTACTACCTAGGTACCTCAGTAGGTAGGTGACTACTACCTAGGTACCTCAGTAGGTAGGTGGCTACTACCTAGGTACCTCAGTAGGTAGGTGACTACTACCTAGGTACCTCAGTAGGTAGGTGACTACTACCTAGGTACCTGAGTAGGTAGGTGACTACTATCTAGGTACCTCAGTAGGTAGGTGACTACTACCTAGGTACCTCAGTAGGTAGGTGACTACTACCTAGATACCTCAGTAGGTAGGTGACTACTACCTAGGTACCTCAGTAGGTAGGTGACTACTACCTAGGCACCACAGTAGGTAGGTGACTACTACCTACGTACCTCAGTAGGTAGGTGACTACTACCTAGGTACCTCAGTAGGTAGGTGATTACTACCTAGGTACCTAAGTAGGTAGGTGACTACTATCTAGGTACCTCAGTAGGTAGGTGACTACTACCTAGGTACCTGAGTAGGTAGGTGACTACTACCTAGGTACCTGAGTAGGTAGGTGACTACTACCTAGGTACCTCAGTAGGTAGGTGACTACTACCTAGGTACCTGAGTAGGTAGGTGACTACTACCTAGGTACCTGAGTAGGTAGGTGACTACTACATAGGTACCTCAGTAGGTAGGTGATTACTACCTAGGTACCTCAGTAGGTAGGTGACTACTACCTAGGTACCTCAGTAGGTAGGTGACTACTACCTAGGTACCTCAGTAGGTAGGTGACTACTACCTAGGTACCTCAGTAGGTAGGTGACTACTACCTAGGTACCTCAGTAGGTAGGTGACTACTACCTAGGTACCTCAGTAGGTAGGTGACTACTACCTAGGTACCTCAGTAGGTAGGTGACTACTACCTAGGTACATCAGTAGGTAGGTGACTACTACCTAGGTACCTCAGTAGTAGGTGACTACTACCTAGGTACCTCAGTAGGTAGGTGATTACTACCTAGGTACCTCAGTAGGTAGGTGACTACTACCTAGGTACCTCAGTAGGTAGGTGACTATTACCTAGGTACCTGAGTAGGTAGGTGACTACTACATAGGTACCTCAGTAGGTAGGTGATTACTACCTAGGTACCTCAGTAGGTAGGTGACTACTACCTAGGTACCTCAGTAGGTAGGTGACTACTACCTAGGTACCTCAGTAGGTAGGTGACTACTACCTAGGTACCTCAGTTGGTAGGTGACTACTACCTAGGTACCTCAGTAGGTAGGTGACTACTACCTAGGTACCTCAGTAGGTAGGTGACTACTACCTAGGTACCTCAGTGGTAGGTGACTACTACCTAGGTATCTCAGTAGGTAGGTGACTACTACCTAGGTACCTCAGTAGGTAGGTGACTACTACCTAGGTATCTGAGTAGGTAGGTGACTACTACCTAGGTATCTCAGTAGGTAGGTGACTACTACCTAGGTACCTCAGTAGGTAGGTGACTACTACCTAGGTACCTGAGTAGGTAGGTGACTACTACCTAGGTACCTCAGTAGGTAGGTGACTACTACCTAGGTACCTGAGTAGGTAGGTGACTACTTTCTATATAATAATTATAATAAAAATAATTATAATTATAGATCAAACACCAGGTCACACACTAGGTCACACCAGGTCACACACTAGGTCACACCAGGTCACACACTAGGTCACACCAGGTCACACACTAGGTCACACCAGGTCACACACTAGGTCACACCAGGTCACACACTAGGTCACACCAGGTCACACACCAGGTCACACACTAGTTCACACCAGGTCACACACTAGGTCATACCAGGTCACACACTAGGTCACACCAGGTCACACACTAGGTCACACACTAGGCCACACCAGGTCACACACTAGGTCGCACCAGGTCACACACACTAGGTCACTACCAGGTCACACACTAGGTCACACCAGGTCACACACTAGGTCACACCAGGTCACACACTAGGTCACACCAGGTCACACACCAGGTCACACACTAGTTCACACCAGGTCACACACAAGGTCACACCAGGTCACACACTAGGTCACACCAGGTCACACACTAGGTCACACACTAGGCCACACAAGGTCACACACTAGGTCGCACCAGGTCACACACACTAGGTCACACCAGGTCACACACTAGGTCACACCAGGTCACACACTAGGTCACACCAGGTCACACACTAGGCCACACTAGGTCACACCAGGTCACACACACTAGGTCACACCAGGTCACACACTAGGTCACACCAGGTCACACCAGGTCACACACCAGGTCACACACTAGGTCACACCAGGTCACACACTAGGCCACACCAGGTCACACACACAGGTCACACCAGTCACACACTAGGTCACACCAGGTCACACACTAGGTCACACCAGGTCACACACTAGGTCACACCAGGTCACACACTAGGTCACACCAGGTCACACACTAGGCCACACCAGGTCACACACTAGGTCAACAACCAGGTCACACACTAGGTCACACCAGGTCACACACTAGGTCACACCAGGTCACACACTAGGCCACACCAGGTCACACACTAGGTCACACCAGGTCACACACTAGGCCACACCAGGTCACACACTAGGTCACACCAGGTCACACACTTGGTCACACTAGGTCACACCAGGTCACACACTAGGTCACACCAGGTCACACACGTCACACTAGGTCACACCAGGTCACACACTAGGTCACACCAGGTCACACACTAGGCCACACCAGGTCACACACACTAGGTCACACCAGGTCACACACTTGGTCGCACACTAGGTCACACCAGGTCACACACACTAGGTCACACACCAGGTCCACACTAGGTCACGAGTCACACACTAGGCCACACCAGGTCACACACACTAGGTCACACCAGGTCACACACTTGGTCGCACACTAGGTCACACTAGGTCACGCACTAGGTCACACCAGGTCACACACTAGGTCACACACTAGGCCACACCAGGTCACACACTAGGTCACACCAGGTCACACACTAGGTCACACCAGGTCACACACTAGGTCCACACCAGGTCACACACTAGGTCCACACCAGGTCACACACACTAGGTCCACACCAGGTCACACTGCTAGGTCACGCACTAGGTCACACCAGGTCACAACAGGTCACACACTAGGCCACACCAGTCAGCACCAGGTCACACATAGGTCACGCACAGGTCACACACCAGGTACAGCACTAGGTCACACTAGGTCACGCACTAGGTCACAACCAGGTCACACCACAGGCACACACCAGGTCACAAGTCACCCAGGTCCACATACAGGTCCATACAAGGTCACATTCACTAGGTCACCCTGACAGGTCACATCCTTAGGTCACACACAGGCACACCAGTCAACACACCAGGTCACACTCAGTCACACACCAGGTCACCCAGGGCTCTCCGATACGACCGGTCACACTAGTCATTCCGCTGGTCACGCAGGTCGTTAACAAAGGTACACCAGGCCAAACACCAGGTCATAGATAAGATCACACCAGGTCACACAATAGGTTGCAGGTCACATATATCACTGCAGGTCACTAGTTCACTGTAGGTCACCCTGCAGGTCACATGCATTAGGTCACACACACACACCAGGTCACACCCCATGTCACACTCCGTGTCACAGCAGGTCACCCAGGGGGCTTCTCTCGGATACGACCCCATACAAATGTCAGGGGTCATTCTGACGGTCGTTACCCCGTTGACCCACGACCCCTGTGTCCTTTCAGGTCACAACAGGTCACACACCAGGTCACACACACACCAGGTCACCTCATCTTACTCACCCGGGATCGTACCCCGGGGCTCCCCCGGGGTACGACCCCGGGTCCCTCACTCATTTCCGGTCTTGGGCCCCGGCAGCCGTTTCCGTTGATTCCCCGTAAACAGGTGAAGCAACGGGTGAGTAACGGGTGAGTAACGAGTGAGTAACGAGTCAGTCTGGCCTAAGCAGTGGGTGAAGCAGGGTGGAGATCAGGGGTCTCTGAGTGGCGCTGTCAGAGAGAGAAAGGGGTGGTCAAACGGGGTTTCTGATTGTTGTGGGGAGATCAGGGGCGTTCTGAACGGTCGACGAGGATATCTGGGGAGATCAGAAGCTCCTGAGTGCTCTACGATGATACCCGGGGAGATCAGAAGCCTCCTGAGTGTTCTACGAGGAAATCTGAGTGTTCTAGACCGATTTTAAGAAAATCAGAGGCCCTCTATGTGTACTAAATAAATCCGTGAGATCAGAAGTCTTCTGAGTGCTTTACGAGGATTTCTGAGTGTTATAGACCGATTTTAAGGAAATCAGAGTGTAGTGTGAGCAGTAAACGGATTTCTGAGGAGATCAGAGACATGCTGAGTGTAAAAGACAGAATCTGAGTGTTCTACGAGGATTTGTAGGGAGATCAGAGGCCTTCTGAGTGTCTGTGGGAACTTCTGAGTGCTGTGGGGAAATCAGAGGCCTCCTGAGTGTTCAAAGAGGAAATCTGAGTGTTCTAGGCCGATTCTAAGGAAATCAGAGGCCTCCTGATTGTACAAAGTTCTATAAGGGGACTAGTGAATCAGGTCTCTCTCTCTCTACACACACGTTCTGAGTGACGCTACTCAGTGAGAGAGAGAGAAATTCATGGGTGTGTTATGAATGCTGTGAGGAGATCAGAGGCCTCCTGAGTGATGAGTAAGTGGAGTCAGTGTGAGCCAGGCAGTGGGTGAGTGAGGATAGTGAATCAGGTTCCGCCGTTCACACACACGTTCTGACACGTTCTGAGTGGCGCTGCTAAGACAGGTTCCTTCAGGGTGTTGCGGGGGGCCCTCTCTGGGGAGATCAGAGACCTCCTGAGTGTCCTACGAGGATTACAGAGGAGATCAGAGGCTTTCTGAGTGTACTTAATGGATTTCTGAGTGTTTTCGACCAATTTATAAAGAAATCAGAGGCTCCTGAGTGTCCCAAATGGATTTCTGAGTGCTTTCGACCAAGTTCTGAGGAGATCAGATGCATCCTGAGTGTTCTACAGGAAAATATAGAAGCTCAAAGGCTCCTGAGTGTCCCAAATGGATTTCTGAGTGCTCTAGACCAATTTATTAGGAGATCAGAGGCTTTCTGAGTGTTCTACGAGCATGTATGAGGAGATCAGAGGCATCCTGAGTGTGTTAGAAGGATTTGTGGTGAGATCAGAGGCCTCCTAAGTGTTCTATGTGGATTTGTAGGGAGAACAGATGCATCCAGAGTGTTCTGAGGCAATCAGAGTAAATGTTTGTTGGTCTGAGTACGTATTTGGGAAGTTCTGAGTACCTGAGAGGCCTCTGATGGGCAGAGAGAGGCTAGTATTTGCACTCTTGCTTCTGATTGTCCTAGGGTGACACTCATAGGCGCCTCTGCCGCCCACGCTCGCACGCCTCCGTGTCTAAACTTCCCCATACCTGATTTCCGAGCCCTGAGTGGCTAGATGGGCCATCAGGATGACTGTAGCGGTAGCAGGGCCACTGTCGGATCTGCCCATCAGATTAGCCCTGATCCTAGGCATGGATCCTGAGGATCCTACGCGTCCTCTTAGCGCCAATCAGACCCCAGCCACTCCGAGCACTCCTAAAACCACCCCCCACGACTCTGCCACACAAGTGAGCCCACCTACCACCACCCACGCCCCTGCTGGCCACTCAGGTACACCCCCAGACACCGCCCACACGCCCACACTCACTCTCTATGGCTCACCTGATCTTCCAGGGCATTCTCCTAGGCCTACAGCCACCCCTGAAGCCCATCAGAGAGCCGCCATGGCCGAGCTCTCGCTACCTGATCGGCCTTATCAGGACCCTGCCCACTACGCCGCCCACTACGACCTCCCGCCCACCCACGCCCACCCATCACTCGCCCAGTTGGTAGGGGATGACTTGCCCGGGTTTTCTGATTGGTCGGCAATCAGTGTAGGTCTACAAGAATGGGGCATTGGCCCCCTACAGCAGGTATGGCCCTCACCCATGGGCCGTGACCACCCTGAGTGGCCCTCTTCGCCACTCAGGGGCCCTGAATCTCCAGCAGTACAAAGGGGACCTGAATCCCCCTCTCTAGTAGTACAAAGAGGCCCTGAGTGGCCCTCTCCCTCACAACAAAGGGGCCCTGAGTGGCCCTCTCCCTCACAACAAAGGGGCCCTGAGTGGTCCTCTCCCTCACAACAAAGGGGCCCTGAGTGGCCCTCTCCCTCACAACAAAGAGGCCCTGAGTGGCCCTCTCCCTCACAACAAAGGGGCCCTGGGTGGCCCTCTCCCTCACAACAAAGGGGCCCTGAGTGGCCCTCTCCCTCACAACAAAGGGGCCCTGAGTGGTCCTCTCCCTCGCAACAAAGAGGTCCTGGGTGGCCCTCTCCCTCACAACAAAGGGGGCCCGGGTGGCCCTCTCCTTCGCAACAAAGGGGCCCTGGGTGGCTCTCTCCCTCACAACAAAAGGGCCCTGAGTGGTCCTCTCCCTCGCAACAAAGGGGCCCTGGGTGGCCCTCTCCCTCACAACAAAGGGGCCCTGAGTGGTCCTCTCCCTCACAACAAAGGGGCTCTGAGTGGCCCCCTCCGGCCCTACCCGGAGGCCATGAACTGGGTCCCACTGTGACGCAAGGGGGCCCAGTAACGACCTCACAGGGAAGCGAATGGTCCTGGGGCCCTCAGCCGGACCCCTGGGCTCTCTCACCACCAAGCGAGAGTGCCCTGAGCCCCGCCAGCCTAGAGGTGGCCCGAGGGTTCTCGGGGGGCCCCACGGGGGGCCCCGGGCCCCACGAGAGACGGTCCCATTCGCGATCACCCTTGAGCGCCGCGACTTCACCTCATCCGAACGCCCCCTCGCCGCTAGCTTCGACGGGTTTACCGCACGCGGCGCGGCGTCGCGGGCGCCGACGACGGTGCCAGCGGGTAGTGCGGGCGGCGGGGCCCCCGGGGAAGCCAGCGGGGCGCGTATCGGGGCAACAGGAGGGGCAACAGGAGGGGCAACAGGAACGGAGTAGCGGGAACAGACGCAGCCCTCGGCCGACAGACAGTCTGCATCCCATGGACCCACAAGCCACAGCAGGGCCCTCGCTGGCGGGGTCTAGGGGCCCAGGCCCCTCCCCTGGGAGCTCCCCAACAAGCCCTGGCCCCCACGACCCCCTACGACCCCCCACGCCCCAGCAGGACGCCCAAAAAGACGACCCCAACGACCAGGAGCGCCCTGTTTGCGTCCCACCAGGTAAGATCCTCGTCTTGTTTTGA